GAGCGTGCGTGCGTGCACCGACCTGTACACCTGAGTGTATCGCTCCTTCGACACACGGGTGTAACAGAATAAACCAGAGATAGTCTAGGCTCCACGTGTATACACGGCCGTGTATACACGGCCGTGTATATATTCTACACTGCATGCCTGAGACTACATTACTGTCAGACAAGTTTCCTAATAATTCTTTAACGCAATCGATACTCACTAGGCGCCGACGAACATTTCAAAGACACGTTCTTCGCGGGTCTTTAGTTAGAAGAGTTGAGCTTTGACGTTGACGTGTTCTTATAGCAGTGGAATGTTTTTCGCGTCGAGATGAGTTATCGGAGAAGCCTCTTGAACGGACGGAGGTTATTTATCAAGCAGATGGCGACACACGCTGACGTGCTAGCGTACGCAGCAGCTGCCCCACACAGCAGCAGCCCTACCTGCAGCCTTACATAGCAGCAGCAGCCCCTACCTACATAGCTGCCCTACACAGCAGCCCTATACCTACATAGCTGCCTATATATATATATATGTATATATATATATATATATATATATATATATATATATATATATATATATATATATATATATATGTATATATATATGTATATCAGGAGTAGATAATAGGGAATTTATTATATTTCCCTATTATCAACTTCTGATATATATACATCCCGGATGTTTTGCATGTAATTATCCCCCTAAGTATTGTGGTAAAGCCAAATTGCTTATATAACACACGGTACGCTGTATATATAGGCTAAGTATTGTGGTAAAGGGTGCAGTATGGTTCATACAGGCACGAAGAAAGGGCAGTGTAATTATGAAACAAGAATACGTGTTGATATTAAAACCAGAGAAGATGCGATACTAGTACGTCGTGATGAGACGTAGTAAACGCCCACACGTGTCACCTGAGACTCGCGGGAAAGCGCCTTGCGTGGCGAATAAAAAAATTGCGCATGTAATATTATCAGCAGATGCTGCAGCATTGTGTTCATATTAGCAAAGCGCGAATGTTCCTAGGACGAGTTTCTAGTAAATTGTCACCGTTATATGATCAGTGTCTATTTGATTCGAAAGTATTGCGAAAAGAATCTTCATTTACGCGTCAAAAATGTACGTGTATAGGTGAGCGTGCGTGCGTGCATGCGTGAATACGTGCATGCACCAACTGACACACCTGAGTGGGGTCCACCGACAAGCGTACGTGCTGTACTCGCCGAGATCTGCAGCGTTTTCCATATAGCCATGAGAATCTATATAACACACCAGCTATCACGCACTTAGTACATTCTGAAAACTCTCCCATTAGCATATTAGCAACGACTAATTTGCACAACTTTATCCATACACGAGTATGGCATTACAACAAACAGCTAAAATTCGTTGCGAACAGTTAGTTGTTTATTTTGTGACTGCTTCAAAGTTCCGTAATAAACTATTACGTAAGCTATTTATGCAAAATTCACGATTATACGAATAGGAGCAGAGCTCTACATGCAATTAGCAATGAATGATCGTAACGATAGTTGAAACCTTGCATTCGGTTGGTAAGCTTGGCATGTCTACGATAACTGATGACGTTAATGAACTATCCGTTCCGACTAGGCGGCAAGCATAGTAAGCAGAAAATATGTGACAGCATATCGTGCGCCTTAAACAGGTTCACTCGTACGCTCCTGGATTTGACACACACACATACACGCGCTATACGCACACGCGCGCGAGCGCACGCACCTTTGTACACACGTACACGCCCGCACCACGCACACACGCACGCGATATATATATAAATATATGTGACGTGTGTATATATATATATATTCAAGAGTGCATAATAGAGTTACATTTTAGAGATAGAGTTAGAGATATATTTACCAGTTGAAAACTATGCAAAACGCTGTTAAAACCGTGTCATACTCTTCTCTATTATGCACTCTTGATATATTGTATCACAGCTATAGCTACCGTAGCTCGCCATAGCTATCAGGAGCTTGGCATTTGGCGAACGGGCGCTGGCCCTGCTTTTTTTAACCTGTACTGTCTGACACGTAAGATGAAGATTATTAATAATCTCTAATTTTTAGAACTCTTGAAACCTCGCTGCTGTAAATAATTGGATGTTGTATTTTGCTCTGCTTCCGCCAGAAGGGCAGTAGGTAAGCGGTAATCGTGTAAAGATATACGTATGAGAAACACAGGAGAGTACACACGCATATGCGGCTCCCCTGCCTCCCAGACGCAGGCACTCTCTAGTCACCAGACAGACACGTCAAACATTTTTGGCAAATTGTCGTCGACGTGTGCGGAACAGTGCAAGCAGTAGACGAACATCGCAGTAGACGAAGCAGAAACCTCGGGTGTATCATGCGTGCGTGCACTGGGTTTATACCATAAATGATATCACTCGATGATTAAATCTCTTGTGAGACAGTGTTTCAGCAGAGAGGCAAGCAGGCAGACAGACAGGCAGGCATGTAGGTAGGCAGGCAAGATGGGCTGACATGCATGCAGACAGTCAGACGGGCAGATAGGGAAGAAAACGCAGCAGCTTGCTCCCGCGCATTGCTCTCTGTTGTTGTTTTTTCTCATATCTGCGGCGATGAGGCCGGTGCGCGGTAGAATTAGATCATTGATTGCACCGTAACAAGTGTAGCACTGCGGACGAGCGTGTTGGGTAGTGCAGCTTGGATGGATGCGTTTGTGTGGCGCGCGCCCAGCTATCACAGCGCTAACGCGGTCTTTCACATACTACAACAATCTCTCATACAATGATTGCCACGCGTATATCAGCCGTAGTGACGCATGTCTCTCTGGCAGCATCAGCAGGAGCATCAGCAGCAGCAGCAGCATCAGCAGCATCAGCATGAGCATCATCATCTTCAGCAGCAGCAGCAGCATCAGCAGCATCAGCAGCATCAGCATGAGCATCATCATCTTCAGCAGCAGCAGCAGCAGCAGCAGCAGCAGCAGCAGCATCAGCATCAGCATCATTATCAGCAGCATCAGCAGCATCAGCATCAGCAGCATCAGCATCAGCATCATTATCAGCAGCATGAGCAGCAGCAGCATCAGCAGCATGAGCATCAGCATCATTATCAGCAGCATCAGCAGCATCAGCATCAGCAGCATCAGCATCAGCATCATTATCAGCAGCATCAGCAGCATCAGCATCAGCAGCATCAGCATGAGCATTATTATCAGCTGCATCAGCAGCATCAGCAACATCAGCAGCATCAGCAGCATCAGCATGAGAATCATCATCATCAGCAGCAGCAGCAGCATGAGCATCATTATCAGCAGCATCAGCAGCATCAGCAGCATCATCTTCAGCAGCAGCAGCATCAGCAGCAGCAGCAGCATGAGCATCATGAGCATGAGAATCATCATCATCATCAGCAGCAGCAGCAGCAGCAGCACTAACAACAGCGGCGGCGGCGGCGGCAATAGCGGCCGGTGTGTGTGTGTGTGTGTGTGTGTGTGTGTGTGTGTGTGTG